CCTTGGTGTCCTCGGTATTTTCATTCACCGCTGGTTCTGGTTTGGGTAAAGGACGTAGCAAGATGTTACGAGGTTTACTACGTTCGCTTTCTTGGATCTCAGCTTGGTCATCTAAAGGACCTGGTTTAGACACGGGACGAAGACATACATTCGACGATTTGGTAGCATCGCTGTCGTTATCAGAGTTGGTCGGAACTGCTTCGGGTTTCCGAACAGGACGAAGCACAACATTGTGAAGTACGTTCATCGCCTCACCACTGACAGATTTGTCCTTCACTGCTTCATGTCTCTGAGGCAAAGACCTGAGTACAGGGCCATTTATCACCGTTTTTTCTGACCCACGGCTTGTTTGACTCTCTCCGTGTTCCTTCCTTTTGGGATGCCGTCGCTCTTCGTGGAGTTTCCTCCGTGCCTCTGCCTCTACAAGCCAAGCTGGTTTTTCATTATCTTTCTCCAATTTTTCTTCCTTGGCTGCCATGTTATTCTTATTTTCGGCAGCCGCACGGACAATGTCGGCTGCGCTACCCTGGGAACGCTGCTGAAAGAACGCAAAAAAAGGAGGAAATGTGAATGTCTCCTTGTGACAATAACCCCTCCCAAGAGCAACAGAATCCCTCTTTACAATATCAATACAATATTGAGCAAACAAGTGATAAGAATGAAGAAAAGTATCAATTAGGGCATTATTAGAGGATACAACACCAAATTATCCAGACCAACTTCATAAGAATTATATGGCAGACAGTAAGAAGAATAACTAATGAGACCTTGGGGGTGAAAGAAAGAGGCCCTTACGGTAGACAATCCCTAGTAATCTACGCTAGATAGACAGCGTCCCGTGAAAAGCCCCTGAACCATATTCCATGCAGAAAAATGAACAGGTAAAAGGGAAGCCAAACCGTTCACGATCAAGGGAAGAAGTGCCCCGACAACTTGTCAAAGTTTGTACAACGACAACGAGTTGATTATATTCTGGCTCTGTGTAGTTGGTCAAAGCGCCACCAAGACATCATGCGAGACATCACGCAAGATATCACGAAAGACATCACGAAGACATCGCGTAAAACATCACGCACGACATCACGCAAGGCAAATCTCAAGACATCACCTCACCCAGACATCAATCAAAACAAACTTCGACGTATTCTTGATACTTGGCTGAGTTGTACCTTGGAAAAATTAAAGATAGATAACTCTCTATTCCCAAGTAGAGAGAGGTAATGGACTCCCTGTTTGAATAGTTTCCATTTTTGTGAGCTTATACGCTAGTGTAATAAAAAATTCGTTTCTCCGATGGACCAACCCTATTTTCAGCTGCGACTTGTTTCTTGTTCAACGCATCGGCCAACCCTGGTAGAGCTATTCCAGATACAGTTTGACTCTTCACTTTAGGCTTTGGCTTGGTTCGTGGTCTCACTACATCTCCTGCGCCCGACTGAGGAGAGTTCTTTATGATGAAACTCCCCCCTGATGTAACACTACGGTCTTCATCCATCCTGAAATGGAAAAAAAAAAATGCTTATACCTCTATGATATCCACACATCCACTTACAGATCTGTCAATTACAACAAAATCAAAGAGAGGTAGAAGCATACATATCCAGAGACGTTGGTCGCATGAGTTTCGTTTGAGTGTTAAAAATCAAAACGAAAGTTATCACAAAAGTCACACAGAACAGAAGGGACAACAAACGAGCGGGCACCTTTTTCCTGCCCTTTCTCAAGCGCGGGAAAATGCTGATGATCAGGAAGCAATTTGATTCAGTTGTGAGCATGAATGGTTCACATCGCGAGTTTTTCCGACCACTCCAGGTGCAAAGACAGTCCCAAAACAACCCTGGGATACGCTCAACACACAACTGAAATTACTCCGATGGCATAGATAAATTCAAAAGCAGCACATAGCAATATACCATTCCATTTCGGCTGTAGGAACCTTTCCGCTCGAAGGGCCACGAAAGCGAAGTTAAATCAAGTTAAACAAGAAAGGCGAACATTTAGGTGATAACTCAGTTGGCCAGCGATGAAATGTCTCAAACTTATGCTACCTCACACGCGAAACAAAGGAAGTGACGCGTCCATGGAAACTACAAACCACGCGAAAGAGCCCCACCCTCCCTTAAACTGCACAAGTTGGTATTACAATTCCAACGAAGTTTGCCTTAATTCCCTTAATACTTGCAGAGATGAGTTTGCATCGCTGATACAGCAATTTGCTCCAGCTACAGTAGTTCAGCCATAGGTAATACTCACGATTCTTCTCCTTCGCTGATAGCAACTGAATCGTCCAAATCTTCTATCAAACTTGACCTGAGACTTTTCCGCCTGGAAGCAGCTGAGGGTCTTCTGCGGTCTTTTAACGAACCTGACCTCGCCAAAGGGATTTTAGACTTTTGAACTTCCAAGTTTAAAGTCGAAGAATTCTGCAAAATAGTTAAGTATTTTCGCTTGAAATTCCATTCAAATAATCCGTTCAGAGGAAAGTTAATTCAATGTGAGCTACAAACTCCACCATCATCGGCTGAAGATAACTTAATTGGGTGGAAATACGCGGGAAGTGCGCATCTCACGCGCAAGTCACTTAGCTGTGAGATGCACTCCCTATAATCAGGCCTGAAATGAGGGGTGGAGGAGTGGGTGGGGGTGCCCCATGAGATTAAAACGCGGATCGAGCAGCCTCTTAACCCTTCAGCCTCATTGCCTCGTGGACCGGCATATCCAAGACTTCCAGCAGGAGGCTCCTACAAAGCGTCTCGTTGACATAAGAAGCTATGCCACTTTAAAAAACAAAGAAAGAGATCGTAGTCACCCTTGTAACCCCTCCTCTCTTGTGGGACCTTGTAGGGTAGAAATGTCAAACTTAGAAGCCAGGTTGAGTATTTAACAGCTGCATGGCCCACAAAAGAATGATGATCGCTCCTTTTAACCTTCTGACCCCAAAAGAGTGACTTACATCTCACTTCTCCTTACATTATCACCCGTGAATCAAACACTAAGGTCATGAGAATAAAGGAAATGATCACCAAGTGTAGAAGCTCTTGATTGCTAAACAAATTCTCCTTTTCACTACCTTAGGAAACAGTATTGAGAATATACACACAGATATTAAGGTGTAAAGGGTCAAACCAACAAAAATAAACTCTTACCGACACAACAACAGATAAGTCAACTTCTGAGGCTGATTTCCTTCTGAAAGGTCTGGTCTCGTTGCCCTCCATCTAAGATGTAAAAAATTCAGCTTAAAATAATGAATCGAGACAACAAAAGCAAATGTAAATCACTAGGAACAATTCTACTTACACGAAAATCATTTGACGAGGATGGTGCAGCTCGAATCTTCCTAAGAAACTCTACCTGAATAAAACAGAGTAAGTGTAGTTTTACTAGAACTGGTTGACATAAGGAACACGTATATCGAATCGATGACAAACGGTCCAAATACTTCTTTTCCGAATCTTCATTGTTGCTATGTAAAGTAAGATTCATTTCAAGGAACGCTATCAGAATTCCCAAACACTGCCGCAAATTGTGGTACGTTTACGTTAATTCTGACGCAAAACAGGTCAAAATTTAGGACCCACTCGAAAATCTCTTCTTCGTGATTACTCTCCAACTTGCAGCTGATAACATCTGTGTTCTTGGCATGCTAGCGTAAATTCAGTACTCAAACGATCCCCCATAATTTGCAAAAGTGAAGTGAATGGAGCGAACAGTCCCCAAGGAGGAAGTACAGGGGTTTATTCAACAACATAGATGTGGGCTAAAAATTGAGAGGATAATTGTAGAAATAGGGTCGTCAATCAAGAAGTTATTGGAACATCTGTATGATCCTTCATCGTCTCTTTTAAAACAAGGAAATAATTGCATGGTGACCATGCACCTTCAAAAATGAGCGTTCCAGTATCGTATCAGGTAATCCTTGACCATGAATCACCAGTGACCAAGTATACTTATGTAAATAATTATATGAGAAACAAACGCATGTTTACATTGTACATAGTCTTCTCTTCCTTCTAGGACTTTGTTGTACTCACCGTATCTGGATCACCCTCAACATCTTGTCCAATTGATGATACTACTGTTTCTGGAGCTTTTCGAGCACTTTTACTTATCACCTACGATCAAACCAAAAAAATTAACATTGTTAAGCTGGGTTTGATTTCTACCCTCGTCTCAAGAAAATAGCTACAGAGTACAATTAAGGCACTTAAGCCTTACAGTTTGTTGGTACCTTTTAAAATCTGCAGTGGAGAGGAGAATCGTGTAAGTACAGAACCACCTTAAAATGTAAGAAATAATTCTCATTTTGTTCAACATGCAATACCTCAGCTCTCTCTTGTACTTCCACCAGGAATGCATCCTGTTTTCTTTTCTGTGAAACTCCTTTACCAGAAGGATCTCCTTTATCATCCCTTGCTGCTGCATCTCTCAAACCCATTTTTGTTGCTGAATCTCTTGTTTTGGAAACAGGTTTCAAATTCATCACAAGGGTTGCTGATTTCTTTACAAGTTCACCAACCAAATTCTCACCAACTATAATTAAAAGGTGAAATGCAGCAATTAGTATGTTCATGTAATCCAGCTGCACAATCTTTTCACACAAGTGTTTTACAATTTCAAGTAGAATGGCACATGAAGTAAGAAAGGTATCTTTCCACAGAGAATATGGTGCTGTGTTGATGTCTAAGTTTACCCTTCATTGAGCATTAGCCCCAACAAAATATCAGCTCTACAAACTCTTTACAATGGCATATTTACATTATCAACTCAGTCGAGAAAACCAAATTATCAGGCACACAAAAATCTTGTTAGTTACCACTCTACTGGTGTTACTGCTTTTGAACTGAAACACACTAGAGCAAATTAAAAGATGTCAAAATAGAACTCTCATTTTCTCCTAAATGGTCTAAATGTGTCAAATGTGTTAGTATGCCCTGGCAGCTAAAATGGGGGAATGGCCGGGTGACATTTAATGAGGTAATTGGTTATATCAACTAAGTTGAAATTGTAGATTGGCCACCATAAAGAGTTACAAAGCTGACGTTTCGAGCGTTAGCCCTTCACCATTTGCTCTGAGGAAGGGCTAATGCTCAAAACGTCAGCTTTTTAACTCTTTACAATGGCCATTCTACAATTTCAACTTAGTTGATATAACCAAATTAACTTTTATCCCTGCCGACGCAGCACCACAGTTTCTTTAGAAACTTTCACCCTTTTGACATTTAATGAGATATATTTCCTAACTTTCAAACCTTACATAAACAGATCCTCCACACTGAGCTCTGTAGTTCACTTGGGTAAGTTTTATTTGTTTATTTGTTTTTTTTGCATGTGTAACTCAGTGCTAAAGCTATGCTCTCATGTCTGTATAAGAAACCCGAAATACTTTCTTGCCAGATGAAGGCTACTGTTTACCATGTAAATTATACTGTATGAACATAAAAGTAAATGTACACTATACCAGAGTTTCTGTATCCATCTTCATTAACTGAACTTGAAGGAGACTAAATAAAGACAGCAAAAATATATGTGTTATTCAACTACAGGAAAAGTACTGTAGCCAATGTAGAACAAACCTATTCACAAGTATCAATTATGTCACACTTTTGGTTACAATGATACAAACATTTGTCGGATTAAAATACCTGGAAAAAAAATTGGAGTAGATCAAATATAAAGTTTTAAGCCCTACTGAAATTGGCCTCACTGTGTGTTTTTTTAGGAAACTGTACTCCTCACTGTTATAATTTCATCACAGATCATACAACTGAACACCTCTTTAAGAAGTTCCCTCTCCTTATCATCCTTCAACCTGTCTAACAGACCCCGCACAGAATCAATATCATCCTTCATTTCTTCATCGAGCCCATCACTCTGTAAAAATAATCATACATTGTAGTGTAAGTCATCAAACCAGTACTTTATGTCACATTTCACTTCTTTCCTATCCTCAAATATATTGTTGGCTGAGTTCCATTAATGCAACTAGGTAAGTAGTAATAATCATTGGGCATGACCAAATAATCTATGCACACTTTGCTACCTCTTGCTTCAAAATACATGTAAGTGACTGCAACCATTCAAGTGTGCAGTAATTATCCAACTGTGCCTGGGAATTGCTAAGAAATAAATTCCTGTTACCACTTTAAGTGATATGCAACAAATGCCTGAGGGAAGAAAAATGCTTCATGTTTCCTTAAGTGCAGACTGGAAGTTTCCTTCCTTCAAGATGTATGTTTGCAACATGACTGCATTTAACTGGCATAAATTGAATAAATGTCAGTTTTTCCACTTCACAAGAGCCATACATTTTACCTAGATGTACATCATTCTGCACAATTTCAAACAGGAGAGAAGTAAAAGTCCAACCAGAAACTAGATTGTACAACACTTAAATAAAGCATGACTGTTCAATTCTTTCCATCACTGATACTGTGCATAAGATTAAAGTAGATTTAATCAACTCAATTTTCAGCTTTTGCTGTTCTGTACAAGTAGTTAATCTCATTCACTGTCATGCAAACAAATGACCCGTAGGTACAAGGTCAATGATGGATTTTTGACTAAAGCTTATAAGCTACAGATGTGTGTAAATAGACTTTAAAAAGAACAAGACACAACTGCTTGCCAAAAAGTTGTGCTGGGTATTTATAATTTCTCTCAAGAAAATAATCTTATTTCACCAGCCTGCAACTCAAAATATAGCATTTCTTTTTTAAACAAAGAAAAGTTTCCTTAATTTGAAACTTCATGGTGCAGATCTTGACATATCTTGAAAAGAACTTAGTTTATTTCATTTAAAAAGTTAACTAAATTCAAGGTTTACCAAACAATGTATACTGTGATTAAATCATAATGATTAACCCCTTTGAAGATGCAAACCTTACACAGCTAGCTCAAAATTGTGTGTAATTAACTTTCTTATAAACAGAATATCGATAAATTTTGTACCCTTCACTGTAAGCTGAAGTACCCCATGCCAGGGCTTTTTACATTTACGGCTGTACCTATCTATTATAATTTGGATATATCAACAAAGTTGAAATGGTAAATTGGCCACCGTAACGATTACAAAAGCTGACATTTCGAGCGTTAGCCCTTTGTCGAGCGTTAGCCCTTCGTCATTCGCTCCGACGAAGGGCTAACACTCGAAACATCAGCTTTTGTAATCGTTACGGTGGCCATTTGACCATTTCATCCCTATCTATTATAGCTCTGTAGTAACAATCCTGCCCACAGAATGCAACTTAAAGTGCTACTGCAATGAAATTTTTGCATTTTATTTTCCCAATTGTCTGGTGTTAACTTCACATTTAGACCCTAAACTATAAGGATAAGTGTAAGTTTCTCAAATTTGACGTTATTCCTTAAAAACAGCGCTGCGAAGACATTAAAAATTCTTCCACCATTGCTCGAATAACACACTGGAGAGCCCGCGAAAATAACTACAGCGGTTTTAGTTGCGACATCATTGACTCACTTCGACAACGTCGTGAAGGTATGCCTTTACAAGAAATACGCAAAAGAAAGCTGGGGAACAATTCTTTTGAATTTTATTCCTTCTTTCCTGCGGAACCAGAAAAACAACTCTCTCTCGGCATACCAAATTAGCCACATTTGTTGAGTCATTGACGTCACTTCCGTTCTCGACCCAGTTTCTTCTTCTTCGCGCGGAGTTCTGTAGTTCGAAGAATGGCGGCCATTCAGATCGCGAATCTACAGGGAAAATAATATTACTTCTCGATGGAGTTTTGCCTTAAGATTTGGCAAATTTGTTACTTAGGGTAAGTACTTTCAACCTCTGAGGAGAAAAGAAAAGGTGCATTTTTGGTCGCAGTAGCACTTTAACATCTTGAAGCAAAGTGCCATGGCAAAATAAGTGTTTGTGAAAAACCAGTGTATCACTTTAATTTGTACCTTGCAACCTCAACACATTTTTTTAATGTTTAGAACCTACCCTGTATCTCAATATTAAACTACCAATTTCATTCAACACAGCCTGGCATTTAACAGAAAAGATATTTGAACAAAAAATAATTGACAAAGACAATGGTGCATTTCAAACTGATCACCTCTACACAATTACTGTAATTCAAAACTGATAGTTGTTAAAGTGCAAATCTGTCTCTTTCAGAAGAACACTTTAATTACATGCAATTTCCGCATGAGTCACCTAATTCTACTTAAAAAATGTCATGAGTCACCAGTGATTCATAGATAACAAAACAAATGAGTTCAAATAACACAATAACTTACAAATCTCTGCTTAGACACCCTTTTCCAATCTGGTTGGCAGAAGTAAGGCTGTTTGGGATAGTACAGCAAGTAGCGAGAAGATTTCAGAGCCATTAGATTTGCCAATGAGAAGAAGAGAAAGCATTGGAAAGACACAAGAAACTCTTAAATCACACAATCAATTCACTTCAGGTTGTCAACAAAACCACTTGCAATCATTAGCTGCACTGATTAGCTTGGGTTCATTTGCACTGAATAAATATTCATCCAGACTATCATTCTTACCTCATTGTTTACAGCTGTTACGCATATAAAAACCATATTTCCATCCCATGAGGTCTCATAAACTACAGGTGCTGTGGTTAAGTTTCAAACCTCTGCTCAATTGTTGAATATTAACTAGCATGTCACCCCTCTCATGATCAGGAAATTGAAAACTGACTTGGCATGGTAATTACTAATTAAAAAGGGACAACAGCTTTGTTTCATATACAAGGAGAGAAAGATACAGAGAAAGTCCTAGTTATCATTTAAAGGTATTGAGGATCTGCATTAACTGCAGTTCTTCAAGAGAAATTGATTCGATCAGAATTCCTATACTGCCTGCAATATCATTTTCTGTTTTGAACTGGTTTTGTTCCTTTTTTAATAACACAACCACAAATTAGAGAGTGCTTTGAAGTATGCGAATTCTATTTCCTGTCACAAATCCATGTGAAAGTCAAGTTATTGAAATCCAGGACCAGTTTTAAAGGAAACATTTGCAAAGCAAAAACTAATATAAATCAAGATACTGCATAATTTACATGCCAGCAAACCATGCAACAAACTCTATGATATTCTTTCACAGCAACCTCTTTTAAATGGAATTCAAATGAGACAAACCAATAATTTATCAATTACACATTGTGAAACAAACTGTCGGTTCTGAAAAATTAATTTAAAAAATGCATTAACACCTTCCACAAAATAAGTAGCCATAATTATTGTTAATTGTTGCATAGTTTTGGTTACCATGGCTTGCATATTAACCAAAATTAATTATAGTGCTTCCAAGTTTATAACAACACAATATGCTTTAAAAAAAACATCAGTTTGAACTTGGAAACAAATGACATGTAGTCCAATTCTTGTTGTGAAGAAAAAAGAATATTTATTATGTAACTTGTCACATCTAGTTGCCAAATTCACACACAAAAAATAATCATCAACCTATAATTAACAAATGACATTTAATGAAAACTCCACAGCTGGTGATGTTGCCTTTTTCTGAATAGTATAATCATATCACCATAGCAAAGGGAATGTAGAATGCAACAATGTTGACATCTAGCCAGTAAAAACTGAGAGAATTGAATGCTACAGATCATGTCAACTCCTTTGACAGAAACAAGCCAGAAAATTCATTTAAACTGTCTTCTGACTTATTACTGATAAATTATTCAATTCACACTGACGAGTCAGAAACCAACTTTAATCTTGAATAAAAGATCTTTAATATTGATATCTTGAACAAATATCCTTTAACCTAGAAACAAAATGAATATGTATAACTTACAGATTGAAAGTCTAAAAAAATAGACTTTGTCAATAATCTGTACCAATGGCTCCCATCTACATGTACAATGCTCTGATGTCCTTAAAAGTGCAGTTACATGAAAACCTCTCCAATGCATGCATACAAAGTGAGTAATATGTTGATATATGCAATAAAAGGTACTTCAAGTAGTAAATTTTACCCATTGCTGACTGAAGAGGAGAAAACTACAAGTTCCCACATAAAAAAAAAATCAATTAAGCTCTTGTTGACCATAACTTTAAATCAGCTGATGGTCTTAAACAAATTCCTTTCACCTAGGAGTCAGGTAACTACAGACACATTGTGTACTTCTCCTATTCCTTTCATAACGGTAATTTTTAAGGAATAGAGCCTTCAGGAACACTACAACTCTCACAACTGTTGTATCTCGAGTTGGTGCCAACCTGACTCTTACATGACATATACATGTAAGTGAATGTAGCCAATTCCCAAAATTTTCACCTCACCGTTTTCCCTACCTACTCAAAAAGTAAACTGATTTGAAAACTTAACTCTAATCCACAGTTCCTTTTATTTTAATCCTGGTTTCCTTCCTGTTAGGCAAACTGACTTTCTAATAAAAATAAAATTTTAGAAAACTGGCTCATCTTTAGGTTATTATTAAATCAATCTAATTTATAAATCAAAACATATATTAAGTTACCAACAGTGTACTATGAACTTGGACAACCAAATTTTAGTCCTTTAAATAATGCTGTTTTCATTTTTTAGGTTCATAAACCTTTTGGTGTAAAATTAGTCTTTCCAGCACTAATAGATCACCATAAAAATCTCAAATTTTAGTATCAAATCAGTGAGTTCCACCATAAAGAATTATTAAAAGATAATTTCTCAGCACAAAGAAAGACTTTCAATTCTTACACTAAGCACACTTTTTATATACATATAGGGCAATAATGGACAAGAGATTCTTAAATAGTTATGAACTATGAAATGTTCAGTTGATGTGAACGGTGTAAGTCATTCTATAAATCGTAATAACTGAAAGGTTTTGCTATTCACCAAAACAACCTGGTTCTTGCTTAAAAAATGATTGTTATTCCAACCTGAACTTCAAAATTAAGGTACCAAAGTGAATACTTTATGAGTTCAATAGACATCCAAAAGAAGGTAATTGTCAGGCTGGTACACATAACCTTTGCCTAGATTTTGATGGTTTGAGTTGTGTCTGATTAAGATGTGGAGAATCCTCTCCTGTCCCCTTAAACTAGTCTATTACTACTACACCTCTTATTGGAAACCCTGAATGCCACTTCAATGTCTGGGCCTCTCTCACATTGGCTAGTCTTACCATGTTGTGATAAGTTTCATAGATATGTAAATAAGCCTGTTTCAACTCCAATTTTAACACTTTCATCAGGGAAGAAAGGTCATTTCTTAAAAGGTACCCAAAAGATTAAGAGCTCAGACATGAAGGCTAAGAAACCTAACTGGATCATTACCTTGGTGTTTCTTCCATGCAATGCCATCTTCAGATTTCAGTACCACACAGCTGGATCTTTTTTAAAGATCCCAAAAGATCAAGAGCTTAGACATACCTTCACCTCACATCTGTAGAAACTACAAGTCGAAAGATTGCAAGTTTGGAGGCCTTTGTAGTCAGACAGACAAATAACAGACTTGAGTCATTGTGTGCCTGTATTATAGTTGGTAACATAATACAAGATCTGGGTTAAAGATACTGAAGAGTGGATTAAAGAGTATGATGTGATGTAGAAAACCAATTGTCTGCATGGTCAAAGCTCATCCAAGATTAGCTCTACTACAAAGTGGGATCGACTACTGATATTCCACTGTGACTGGGAAATAATGATTGTAACAAGGGCATCATAAATGAAAACAGAATTTTCACCATCATTTTCACAATACAACTGAATTTACAGACAGGAAAAAAAACTTTCTTTGTCATCAATAAAGCAAAAGAATTTTCATGTCTTTCAAAATGTAATTTACTGAAACAAAAAAAAAGCTTTGGCCTAAGTTGACACTGAAAAAGTAATTAAAGCCTTGCAGTGGCTAATGAGAGAAAAGGCACTACCTCCTTGCAGGAAGGAAGTTGAACAAAGGGTGATTACATGAATATCCTGGATAATTAAAACTCCAGACTAACAAGTCTGAACAGCTGTTAATTCCTTCTCTTTACTTTTGTTGAAAAAGGGTTTTCTCAAGTATATATTTTAGCCACACTAGCAAATATTCACTATGGTACCAAATTGGTGTGTACAATGTAGATGAAAAAAGTTATTGGTAACACTATCCCTAAAGTCTACCAAAAAAACAAGCTCAAGTGGTTTTTATTTAGAGTTGCTAGGAAATCAAGAATAAAAAAAAATTTTACATGTACAAGAGCACAATATTGCAATGAACACAGACTACAATATGAATATTCTGGCTTTAACTACTGAAGATTATTCAACCTCAGAGTTATTGGGTGCAATATTAGGAGTATCAAAAACTGATTAATTGCAAATGATCGCTACTGCCCGAGCATTTGTTGATAACCAGCGGATAATAGCTCAGATGGGGAAAATTATCATAGCCCCTACAAAAAATTAAAATTGCAAGATCCGTGGAAGGATAAGAGAAGAACAGAAAGTGCCTCGAGTTAGTTTTTTTTAATTTCTTACAACGCAAACAGACTAGGCAATTAGATTTGCCTGATGCACGTTAACCAATTATTAGATGACATGAATATAATATTGACAGCACTTGAATAAATCTTGTCTAACACCACGCAGTTGCCAGCGTTGTCGGCCGTAACAGAAACCAGATTAAATATTCTTTTGAATGACTTCAAGAGATTTGAAGACAGAATTTGAAAAAATGTCACTTGGAAACTTTAAATACTTTCTCAACCACTCACTTTTACCCTTTTACAGCTTACTTTCCCTGAATGTGACACACGTCTATCGATATTTAAGTCGGCGTTTGAGAAAATATAAAAACCCAAATTTAAATTTAAAAACCTCTACGATTTGATCATATTTCGGCACAAAACTACCTTAATTCCAAGGTAGATACGAATACTTTACCAACGGGAGGCAGTGGTTTTCAATCGGCTGACAGATTCTTTAAATTAAATCGGTGGAAACTGTGAACTGGGAGTCATAAGCTAGTGCGTAAGCAGTATACAAAGACAAGCAATCAGTCTGTTCAGGTTTCTAAAGTCCTTGAATTCTTAAGTACTGAAACACTATAATAACTTGACGAGAAAAAGAGAAAATTAACACAGATAGGCCTGTATAGTACGACGTAGACTCATCAGACGTATTTATCGGTCAGATAAAATAACACTGCGCTCGCGATCGCGCACCGTCTGAAAAAGACGAGTCGGTTCTTAGGTTGCTTGACAATATACTGGATAAGTAAAGAGCCAAAACATACCTTCACTTCCATTTTGACACCTTCAATGAAGACTCAATAGCAAAGGTGGCTGTAGTTTATTTTGTGCTGTACTCAACGAGATCTTTTCCGCACAAACCGGGCTCGTCAAAGGTCAACTACCTTACTCAGCCGGCCTGGGTAATTAGGAACGGCTTCAGTAACAGACAGCTTGACTTTTCAGTCCACATTTACATATCACTCTAGCACAGCTTGAGGTAATGACTTCTCTTAATCACCTGGATCAAGAAATATCCCTTGCAAAGCCACAATTACCGCAAATACAATGAACAATCTGAACTCAACTGTAAACAGTTTTCAACAAAAGCCTCAACACGCTTGTATCAAAATGGTGCCAAACTCACGGCTTGTGATTGGTCAATTATGTTACTTCTGCTTACGTAATAAATTGATTTTACGCACGTTCGCATTTCCCCGCAGTGTTGTCTATCCGACTATTTCAACTCTCAATTTCGCTGACCATTCATGGAATCTACAACAAAAAATATTGATAGCAGGGAGGAAAATATCTCAGAATAACTGAGATATTGCTTGTCAAACTGAGTATCATACTGTTACGTCACAAAAGAAGAAAACAGCAAACTTGATGTCGATCAAAACGAAGCTACTAAATGAAATATGACACCGGGACTGTGGGGGTCAAAACTAACAAATCAAAGAAAAACCTTTTAGTGAAGAAGCTTTGAGTTTGATTTTCTTAAAAAAAACACTTCAGCTTTGTTAAATAACTGAGGAGCAGGGGTTGATACAAAGCCTATGAATAAGAAAAAAAGCAAAAACTTACCAAGAATTTTGGCATTAGGAATAAGAAGATTGAAAAAATTAAAGCTGGAAGCCAACCTGGAACCGGAGAGGTACGAACTCATAACCTAGTCTGACAGTATTGACTTCCAGCTAAAATAACAACCCTTGTCGATTGACAAATTTCTGTGATCCAAGAAATGAAAAGAAAATATGGTTGTTGTACCCGATTCTTTGCCTTTCATCAATCCTTTTCATGCCTCGTGGCAGATAGGGCCTTCACAGAGCTTTTCCACTCCTCTCGATTGGTTGCTGCGGTCCGCACCTCCTCCCAAGACCTCCAACCTGCCTCTTGCCTTTCTTTCTCTACTGTACGTCTCCAAGTGGTTTTGGGTCTTCCCCTTCTCCTTCTACCTTCTGGCGCCCAGCTCACAGCGATATTGCAATCATTATTACGATCTTTCCTAAAAATATGACCAATCATTTTCCATCTACGAGACATCACTTCCGCACTCAGTGGCTTCGTGCCTGCCCTTTCCAGTAGCTCTTTGCTGCTGACATGGTCTTGCCATCGGATTCGGAGGATCCCTTCGTAGGCACCTATTATGGAATACATTCACTGCTTTATCATCTCCTTTGTTCATCTTCCATGTCTCAGATCCATAGAGTAACACTGGCACCACTAGAGTTTTGTACAGCTTCAGTTTTGTTTTCCTCATGCAAGATGTTATTAGAGATCCAGATCTTCTTTAGTTTGTTAAAGGCACCTCTGGCTTTTGATAACCTGTTCTTCAAGTCCTTCATAACACCACCCTCTCTACAAACTTTGGCTCCCAAGTACACGAACTATTCTTTGCCTTTAACAGTGCAAAATTCAAATCTCCAAAGATGGACTGGAGATATACGCACGAGAAAGGTAGATTTGTTACCACAGGACTGCAGGCAAAACATCCGTAACAGCACCATGTCTGTACACCAGGGATGTGCGGGGGGAGGGGTCACTGTAATATCAGCCATTACAAAAGCCGCCGTCGACGAAAAGCTATTTCCGTTTTATTTGCTATTCTTGGTGATAATCGAGCCATAATTGTTGCCTGTAAGCAAGTAAGCATGAAATTTTCTAGATGAAACCCCACCTGATATTTAAGTCAAAAAGGCTCTGATGAAATAAACACTCCAATTGTTTCAGTTGGTTGTCGCACCATACACCTTTAATTCAATCTTTTTTGGAAAACTAATTGTACAGAAGATAAAGTGAAGGGACATTCAATCATATAAGTTATCACTGCATCAAAGACTGACGCAAACAAACTTTCTTCTACTATGTACAAAACCATGTATTTATCATGGGTAAACATGGAGTGCTGAACATGCGAAAGAGCCTGGACCAAGGTCTCCCAGAGCACCGAGGAATACTATCGAAGACATTGTTATGCAGCAAGCTTCAAATGGAGTCGCAAGTAGTCCGAGATTGCTTTAGTTCTACTTCTCTAATGTCAACCTCGTTCCCAGGGTCTCTCATCTTCCCGCCCTCCTCACTCCCTCCAGGGGGTGGGAAGATGATAGACCCTGGGAACGAGGTTGCACTCCTGTCTGAAATTGATCCCGAAAATTTGCGCCACACTCTCAACCAATCAGATGCAAACCTGAGACCTCTCACAACTTGGTCTCTTGCATTTTCCCGCGCTTCGGAAATTTGCTCGCTTTACCTTTGAGGTCTCATGGTCTCCTTACACCATTTTCCTCTGTTCTGGTTATTAACACTAACTTGAAAAGTGCACGATTCGCCTATATCACTCGCGTTTATTCTGGCCACGCTGCTTAATCAAAATGATTTATCTACACTGACGCACTAAGTTCTAAGGTTAATGTACACATTAACGCTTTACCATCCTACACTCTTAAGAGTCCAGCTCAGGTGGATTACCCACTTCATGAGTGAGCAAGACAGCAGGCATTTGCCGCAAGTATGTCAAAGACTTTCAAATTCAAACAGAATATAAAGTTTTTACGAAAAATGGGATAAAGATAAACAAGGACTGAAAAATTAGTTTTATTTTGGTATTAAAAGAGCCGAGAGGGCATCGAAGAACTTTCCACGGTCTTCACTCTTCATTTCGATCACTAGGACGAGAAAAAATAACTGCTGTCAGAAAAATATCGCAAAAGAGCTAAGGCAATGAGAGCGCGCACACTTCATTTCAACAAATAAACGACAATAACAAACAGCAATAACCAAACAAAAAAAAATTATATCTGGTCATTTGGCTATCTGTTATTCCAAGTGTAAGCTCTCCTCTCTATGTTAAGAAAGACCACACAAAAAAACTTATATCTGATCATTCAGCTACTTGTCTTTCCAAGAGCGAGCTCCCCTCTTTCTGTTAAGAAAGACTACACAAAAAAAAAACTTGTATCTGATCATTTAGCTACTTGTCCTTCCAAGTGCAAGCTCCCCTCTCTAAGTTAAGAAAGACAAAACGCAAAGAAATGATCCAATCACATTTTAATTTGGAAAATATTTTTTTCCTCTGAAAAGCACATTCTCACCTGCTGGATCAAAGTGGTCGTGAATTGTTCTAGACTTTGTTTTGCTCGCAGCCATTTCAAAAGCTTTTCCCAAGAAACTGCGAAGAAAAAAGTAAACAGATGAGTAAAATAAACCTGATACAGTCAAACTTTTCCCAGACTACGAGTGGTCCCTTCAAGAAGTCCGCCGCGCGAGTCAAAAGTCAGTGCACTAACATCAAATAGAGGTTTTATTTCATTTACTAGCGCGACGGACTTCGCCAAAGAGGTGGACTGTTCGGAACCCACCCGAGGAACAGAGGAAATTGGCTGCTGTGGAGACAGGTAAGCGCTATGTAAAGAGTATGTGAATGCAACCACTCAGACATGGCAAGGTTTAGAAACTTACTTTTTGCCTGAATCATCAGCGATCGGAGGCACGCCAACTAGGAGGCAAGTCCCTGATCACAAAAGTAAAATTAAAAAAGATCAGAAACACTATTATTTGGCCAGTGAAACCCTTTGTATGAAATAAATAGTGGAAAAATGATTGGCTACAAATTTCTCAAGTCGATACCACCACCAAAGGTATTGGGCACTTTCGGGTTGGAATCATCGTTTGAATCTAAACAGAGCAGTTTTTTATGGAGTGTTGAAAAATAAAAACCAAAGTAATCATCGCGACCAATCAGAGCAAGGGTTAACTTTATCGTCAGCCAATCAGAACTCAAAATAAAAACAGGCAAACTGCATCAACCGCGGGAAAACGCGGGTGACCAATTGGCGATTGATTGACTGGTGAGACTGATGGTGCGAGTCATCAAGGCCAATAGGGAGATTTAGCACCGCGTTTACGAGAAACGGCAAACAGCAGCTTGTCCTTTCACGTTTCACGTAAAATAGCGTGAGCCTTGCTGTTTAGCTCCTCGTGAGTTCACGTCATGGTGGATTTGAAGGCGCTCTTGTATGAATTACAAGGAATAGTTTTAGTGTCCTTTTTCCGGCAATTAACTTCTACTCTGTGAGAAAAAAAGTGAAAATCTTACGTACACGGCAAACGCAAAACAGGTCACTTTCACGTAAAAACGGCAAAGCGCAACCGGCAAACGTGAAAAAATGGCGGAAAAAAACAAGGTCACGTGGTCACTCTTACCGTTCACCTTTCACTTAAACGCAATGCTAAAGCGCTCTAATGACTGAGCAACGAAAAGCACAACCAAAGCAGTCCCAGACTTCTTTCGTTCCTAAATTGTAATTTTTTGCGGTAGTTAACATTCGCTATTCCCACCTTTCTCTGTGTCCAAGGGAGCTGCTAAAACGAAAGGCAGAGCTGCTGCTTTCTTGTTTTTAGACTTCATCAGACAAAAGACAAAATTATAAAAAAAAAAACAACTAAAATTTAGGCGACAACATTTCGTTACGCCACAAATACCAGCGAACATATGAAAATAAGGGCGCTACATTAAGACAGAGGACTAGTTTGACGTACAATTTCGTAATAGTGGAAGGGTTCGTCTCGTGTTTAGGATATGGTGTACATCAAATGCAATGATCATAACTTGGAAAACTGTGATCTCTTCAGGAAATTAGTATAAATCTACTGGCGTTTTATCTATAATTTTGAAACTTGTTTGGTACCAATATTCTTACGACAGGATTGTAAGTTATTACACAATATGAAGTACCTAAATTTACTTTGCATGAAATATTTCCTAGCTTATTTAGTGCTTTCAGAATCAAATTTCCCCCACCACGACCAATTTCCTGGATCCACCACTATACTATGCGTCGAAAGACATACCATCACAACATAGGCGTTGAGGATAAACCGAGCTAAGGCCCCTAGGACGGCTGGCTTACTGAACAAGTTCAGGTCCGGTATACCCTAAAAACAAAAGCAAATAATTTTATTTCATTGTGATGATATGAGTGAAATTAAGTAGACCGCAAGTTCCTCTTACAAATATCTGCAAGCGTACAATGTACACTTTTGCTTCCGGACCAGTCACTGGTTTTCGCCTGAGGGGCA